TGTTCCAATTTTTATTATTTCCTTCCTTCTGCTAATTTTGCATTTAGTTTGTTCTTTTTCTAGCACTTCAGGCGTAATGTTGTGGTATTTATGATTTTCTTCTTACATGTAGGTATTTATTGCTATAAAATTCCCTCTTAGAACTGCTTCCACTGCATCCCATAGATTTTGATGGGTTCTATTTCCATCGTCATTTGTCTCAAGATATTTTTAAATTTCCCTTTTGGTTTCTTCTTTTACCCATTGGTTGTTCAGAAGCATGTTGTTTCCACGTATTTGTTAATTTTCCAAGATTTCTCTTGTTACTGATTTCTAGTTTCATACTGTTGTGGTTGGAAATGATACTAGATATGATTTCAATTTTCTTGAATTTAGACTATTTAAAACTAGTTAAGACTAGTTTTGTGGCCTAACATATGGTCTGTCTTGGAGAGTGTTCCATATGTACTAGAGAAGAATACATATTTTGCTGCTACTGAATGGAAAGTTCTATATCCCTATAAGGTCCATTTGGCCTAAAGTACAGTTCAAGTCTAATAATTCCTTGTTAATTTTCTGTCTGGTTAATCTAGCCATTGTTGAAAGTGGGGTATTGAAGTCTCCTACTGTTGTATTGCTATCTATCTCTCCCTTCATGTCCATTAATAATGTTTTATATATTTGGTGCCCCAATGTTGGGTGCATATATATTTACAGTTGTTATGTTCTCTTGATGACTTGACCCCTTTATCATTAAATAATGACCTTCATTGTCTCTTGTGACCTTTTGACTTGAAGTCTATTTTATCCAAGTATAGACACCCCTGGTCTCTTTTTATTACTATTTGTATGGAATGTCTTTTTCCATTCCTTAACTTTCAGACTATGTGTGTCCTGAAAGCTAAGATGGGTCTGTTGCAGGCAGCACATGTTTGGATCTTGTTTTTTTTATCCATTCAGCCACTTTCTATGTCTTTTGATTGGAGAGTTTACTCCACTTACATTCAAGGTTATTATTGATGGGTAAGGACTGAACTCCTGCCATTTTGTATACTGTTTTCTGGTTGTTTTGTAGATCTTTTGTTCCTTTCTTCTTCTCTTGTGTATCTTTGTGGTTTGGTGTTTGTCTATAGTGCTAAGCTTTGATTCCTTTATCTTTCTCATTTGTGTATCTTCTGTAGCCTTTTGCTTTGTAGTTACCATGAGGCTTACATAAAACTCTTATAATAGACTATTTTAAGGTGATAGCAACTAAACTTCAGTTGCATACAAATAATCTAGACTATTACCCACTCCCTATACACAATTTATATTTTTGTTGACACAATCTACATCTTTTTATAATGAATATTCCTTAACAACTTATTATAGCTACATTTTTG